GGTAGAGAGTATTGTAACAACTGAAATATAATGAATTAGTGATTGATAATAATAATAACATAGTTGCCAACTTATACGGATTGACTGTGAGACTCACGGATAATTTGTCATTTACCAGTTTTATTACGGATGAACAAAAACTTGCGGATTTCAAGGTTACTCACGGATCAAGATTTTTAAACTAATAAACAATGATTTACGAACTGCATATATAGTAATATGCAATAAATAGATCATTTGCCATTCATCTGTAGTGTTTATAGTGTAGCAAAGAGTAAGCCTAGGCTATGTGCAAGCCCAGTACGCTCGACGTTAGAATCGTAAACAAACGACGCCCTTTACCATCAGTGTGCTTTTATTACCCAGTAATGCGCATGGTTTGTTTGTTTGTTCATCTGTTTTCCACATGAAAGTACTGTCTGTACATCGTCATTCATGATTAAAGTGAGTCCATAAAAAATATTTTAATTTTACACCAAACAATTGTTGGGTTCACTCATCCTAATTTTACAGTACTGTACTTTGGTCAAATGAGTATAACTTTTTGTTTTTATTAAGTTTACATAAACATGACCTAATTTAGTGTCCAAGATCAATCAAATCAGTAGTGGAATGCTCAGATTGCCCGAGGGTCAAATGCTTGTCAACCTTGGCCCCTGGGGTCCCTCCCCCTGCCACTCGGCCAGTGGCACGTTGCTACGCAATGCAAGTTCTCACAGATTTCTTTTGGGAAGTGTTGGCAACTATGGCATCCAGACGTCTGCGCAGCTCTGGAAGAAATATTTCGTAGCACCATTAAAATCTTGTGTGCCAATACACATACTGTAGTAAATTAAGAAATAGTAACTGTATGTTGCATTTAAGCTGCCGTGTTCTCTGCATGCAGATCACTTTGATGTTTTTTTTTTCCATGATCCAATGCAGTTAGCCTGCTCCACCAGCAGTGCATGCGTAGGTATGTACAACCATGGAGGTATTATTGAGAAGATCACTCGGCAACAGTTTAATCTAATCTAATCATATTTATTTATATAGCGCCTTTCTTTGCAGATACGAAGCGCTTCTGTCCCTGGTCATTGGATCCACATGCTAAGTGTTGCTGCTGTATTCAGCGCAGGAGCAAGCAACCCCACCAAGTACCCATTTATACTCCTGGGTGGAGAGAAGCCATGCAGATAAAGTGTCTTTGCTCAAGGACACAAGCGAAATTCACAGCGAGGGATTGAAACCCCAACCTCGAGGTTGGGCAACCAAACCTTTCACGCTGCGCCAAACCGCTTCTTCCGCTTTTTCAAAATTAACAATGTTCCCCTGATTGGATTTTTTTTTACTTTTTACTATGTTGTTATGTGTATATTTGACGAACAAATTTCACAAAATGTTTCTGTTATAATTACGGCTGTGTTATTATAATTTTGTCTAAAAATTGACTGGTTTGACTAAAATATTATGGCAGCGTAAAACTGAAAATCACTCTGACTTTGGATTGATTTTTCGAATAGTTAACCCTCGTTAACCCTAAAATGACTTAGTTTATTATAATCCTCAATCATTTATTAATTAATATCTGTTAAAATTAGAATGATCAAATTTTATCCAATTTATGTACATTGAAGTTGAAATATACTATACTTTCAAAGCTCATGTAAATGTTTCATTAAATTCGAAACACTTTTTTGTGGAAAATATTAATGTTTGATATTTCATGAGAGATAAATGTATCTCAAAGTCATAGCACTCTTACGGGGATCAAGCTTTCAGTATTGCTGCTCCACGTCTTTGGAACGCTTTGCCTTGCTCCGTCAAACACATTAGATCTTTCAATTTGTTTAAAAAAACTTTAAAATTGCATCTCTTTACTGAGGTGTATAGAGAACCTTGATGTTTCTCTGTTGAATTTATATTATTAAAAAAAATATAATAAAAAAACTTGATACCACTTTTCTCTGTCGACGCAATGTTGCTCGTTTGCAGTGCACGGTAGTGGAGCCCTGAGCTTATCCTGGGGTGGAAGGTGCTGATGCTCAACATACTGCCTTTGAGTATCTGCGCATACTTATATGGGGAGCAACACTGCCTTGAGGGGATAATTGGTATTTATTTGTATTTTTCTTGAAATTCTTCTAGGAATTTTATGGTGAAATTGACACTGCGCCTTGAGCACCGTTGGTGGAGATGTGCGCTTTATAAATCTTTATTATTATTATTATTATCTACTTCAAAATTGAAACGACTGTGCAGCCATAGTGATTGACTGTATGTAGTGCGCAGTGAGAAAAGAAGGTGCTCTCCATTTCGCCATGTTCAATTTTAAGCCTGAGCATTTTATGGCGGGGAACACATCAAACTTCAAAGGCATCGCACAACATTCTTCACAAGCTGCGGCAGCTTTTCTCCTGGCCCATTTGCATACTGTAGCACTGCGTGCGCGCGACTTTTTGAAGTGATCTCCTTCTCAATATACCAAAGATAATAAATAGCAGAAGATAGAGCAGCTTCACAATACAGTGGAACATCTGTTTAAAAGGCATTGTGGGTTCACGGAGAGCAATTTTACCCCGGCCGCGCGTCGGCGCTATATAGCAATAATAAAGATTTCGCTCTGGTTCGTTTGTTTCCTGTAGTTTCTCCACTTAGTAAAAATGGTCAAATTTTACCCCATTCGCGGGAGGGCGGATGTTCTATCAATTTTAATACAAATACGCAGAGCAGCTCATTCTTCCTTCTGCTATTTAAGTTCTTTGACAATACAGTACCTCCATGGTGCAACCAACAACAAAGCATGCCTGGTAAAAAGTCGAAGAAAATCTAGCCTACAGTCCGCTGGCTGATTTTACCCGCGACCACATCCTGCAGTTTGCCCGCGGGCACGGTCCACGTCCTGCCCGTGATCGGTACTGTATGCGAATCGAAGAAAATTCTACTAGAGTTCACCGACCAGATGAACGCGTTTCACAAGTTGTTGTGAACTAGGGCAGGGAAACACCGACTTCACCACAAGTTCTAATGTCATGAACGGCATTAGCTGTGACCTACCTTTCCTCGGTAAGTTTCAAGCGGTACGCTTTTCCCATCGATATCCAAAACTTCAAATGAATAAAAATCTTCTGACTGTACTTCTATCCATAACAATGGCAGAATAAATGTAAATAGTGAAATATTCAAAGCAGCAGACCACGTAATAATAAAGACCATTTCGAACACGACAACAACCTAAAGCTACGCCTGGGAGCAGGTCAAAACTGCAAAAAACCAAAACGGCAATAACCAAAACGGCAATAAACCAAAATGGTAATAATACGGATAGAAAAATACGCCCTCAGTCGGCCAGTGTTATCAGTAGATCAGTGACCAATTGAATTTTGGCGTGGCAGGCCGCGACGCTGACAGGCCTAAGGCCCTATAAAAATATTAGTTTATCACCCTATCTGGGCAGGAAAGGTGATGAGGGAGGGAGGAAGGCTTTTTTTTAAAATTTTTTATTTTGCTAAAGCCAAATATAACCCTTGGTTGGTTTGCTGGTGCATTGATATTCAAAGCAAAACATGATTTAGATATTAATGCAAACAATATCTACTAACTATTTAATAAAATAAATGAAAAAATAAATAAATAAAATAAAAAAAATTTTCAAATTTTTTTTTTCAGTACCATAAAAGGCATGCGTGCGAGGGTGATAAACTAATAATTTTTTTTATTTGGCCTAATGCATAAAATTGGTATGATCAATGGAAACGCAAATCACAAATAAACAATTCTGAACCCATGTTTATAGCAATTAACAGTCAATTAACAATTCATGTTATATGCACTTCGTTGAGTTTTGCTTACTTGAATGGACTGAAGTATACTTTGTTACTTCTTAATTCTTCCTCTATGACAAAAAATATTTAATTTTCTTAGTAAAAATAAAATACCCAAGGATTTGAACGGCCCATACACAAGAACCCAAGACCAAGTCAAAATACCCAAGATCTGGTGTAAATACCCAAGCAGTGGTCACACTGACCGGGCGGGTGTCTATATAAAACGAAGACCGAAGACTGAAGATTTAAAAACGAAGACCCCTATTTTTTCTCATATCTCATTTGACAGTGTTTTAAAATTCCAATTGGACAACAATTAAATATCCAATTTGATTGTTTTAAAATTCCAATAGGACCACAAATATCCAATTGAATAACAAATCAGTATCCAATTGGAATTTTTTTTTAAAAGTCAATTGGAAACAATATCCAATTAGAAAATAATGTAATTTAGTTGAGCCTAATACTACTTATTTGAATGCAGAGTGAACAGACACGAGCAGAAACAACAAATATCCAAAATTAAATAAACTCCAAATTGTACAACAAATAATATTCAATTGGATCATGTTTAAATTCCATTTTGAGAAATATTTTTTAAATTCAATTACTATAGATAGCAAATATATCCTGTATATACTTTTGAAGATCATGAAATTGAAACAATTTAGGTAAAATTACTGATTGAAAATTGTTTATTCTCTCGTATCTAGTATACAAAATCGAATAAGCATGGTGATAAACACTTTCCAAAATTTCCTGTGTATGTCGTGTAGAGCAAATATTCATGATCATAAAGTTGTCTCGTATTCAGCATTAAGTCTATGCATGATGAGTTCGGGGGAATATGTCCGGTGTAGATACGATGAAGCTGAGGTGGGAAAAGTAAATCGATACATGATAGAGAACATAGCTGATCTACGGAAGTTGGAGCGCCAAAATAAAGAAAACACCATCATTAGTCCCGAGGACTAAAGAACACCATCTTCATTCCTTATTATGGCACTGACTTGTCTGTATAGACAGGTGACTGTAAATAGTAATAATTAACTGTATCATACAGTTCAATGAACAGTGGCTTGACTAAATCCTAAATGATTTGTAAATGTTTGAACTAGACATGTGAGGTACATGAGTTGATTTAAATTAAATGTTCAAGCCTTGCATAAATTTAACAAGTTGAAACCAGTGAGAGTTCAGGAAGATGGCAATGCCTGTTTAATGTGATCTCTGTAGCTGTTTACGGACATGAGGGCCGATCCATGGAGATTCTAACAAGGACAGCGATTGAAATGTCAGAGCACCAACCATTTTACGAGAATGTTGAAGAAAACTCAGAATTGATCAACGTTTCTCCTGAATTTAGCAAATGCACTGAAAGACTGCACAAGGGATGGAGCATATTCTTCCGCGTGGACAATACATGCAGCATCAACGGTCATTGGGAGACTTATCCAGAGCTTTTTTCCGCCGCTAAATGGTCTGACAGATAACTGTTATAGGTGCTGAGCAGGCAATTTGATCCACGTCATGGAACCAATGACGAACCTATATTTATCATGTGGACTGGCGGTTCCATTGCTTCCGGTACGTGGACACCAAATCACTTTGTTCCCCTGCTGCATCCTGAGAACATTGTGCCAGACAGCAGCCCAGACTCTTCATTGAACATGGTGAGTCTACGTTACTTTTTAAACGCACCTGAAATGACAGTGAAAGCCAATTAATGACCAAAATCATATACAGTTAAACTTGCCGAAGTCGACTTTGTCTAACTCAAATAATTTCAAAGTCGAAATTATTTAACATGCCAAATTGTGTTTTCCATAAATTAACAATCTGTAAGTCAAATTTTATCAAACAATTTTTCAATGGCAATTTGGATTCAACTTAGAGAAGAACTGTAATTGCAATAATAATCACTAATAGGTTACTGGATGTTATTTTCATTGTTGTATTTGATATTATCTTTTTCAATATACAGTATTCAAATAAAAATATTACAATGACTTAAATTTTCGCTGTCTCATGATTATGATGAATGGCCAACACTGCAATCGATGAAATCCAAAAGTAAACCACGAATGAAACAAGAAGAAATCCAAACCGTCTCCAAAAGCAAATGAAGCAGAACCTGACACTAATTCAGCAGAATGGACGACATCTACACCATTAAATCAGGTATGCGATATACAGTAAAACCCCCCACCCCACTTGAAAACGTACTTGTACATGGAAACATAGTTAATGCCTTTATATACCAGTGCTATATAAATTGCCATTATTATTATTTAGTTGTTGTTGTTGTTGTTACTATTATGACGTTATTAAAATTTACTGTAAGGGAAACTTAAACAATGGAGGAATTAGAGAACAATTAAAAAATGGTGTTAAGGTGAAAATAACATGACATTAAGGGGAATATAACACAAAAGACATTCCCCTTAAATCAAATTGCTAGTTATTATTATTACTATTATTTTTATTATTTCTTTGGTAATGAATTCTTCAATAGTCCTTTGACAGCGGCCCAGATGATGCAGAGATCTCAATAAACGAACCGATTCCACAAGAAGTGGAAGAAGAAACTGAGGTTAATAAACTAATAGAAGATGGTTCACTAAAAGTCAAATTAAAGCTCACAACAAACACCGGGTAAGAAAGCTGCTTCAAAGGTTATACTAAAATTATTTTTAGCAAAAACAAATTGTATTATAACCTTGACAAAAATTATTTTTAAAGCATACATATTTAAAATAAAATGGTATTATTATAAAGATTAGCCCTACATTTGGCTCCATTTGTAGCCAGCTAGATGTAGTATCAAGACAATGAAAACTGGGGTCGTATTCTTATACAACATACAAAAAACTTTTTCCAAGCTTGGGAGTCTTATACGCGAGTACAGTATATACAGTACTCCACTATAATTTTTTTCAAAAACCCTCTCAACAATAAACAATTACAGTAATGACATGTCAGAACATTTATCAGCGTCTATTTTCTAGACCAGAAAAATTAACGATATAGCCTAGGTCTTCTATCCAGACATAAGCGAAAAGGCACAGTATCTAACCAACCAACAAGGAGTTGTTATTTAAACTCCCTGATCCCATGTAGAAAGGACTAGTCTATTAGGCCAAAAAGTGTACAATTAGGCCCATATCAGACAGGAAAGTAGAAAGTGGCATTAATGCCACTAATTATATACAATTTTAAACTTTCAACACCGGAACATCTGATCTTCTGACGTCAAAATGGTTATCATTATGGTCAATGGGCTTCGTAAGGCCCCACCCCTCCTTCTGCTCTTTTCATGATGCTCAATACAGCGTGGAGATTAAATCTACCTGCACCTCTGTTCAGCATCGGGTTTGTTAATAAAAAAAAAAGAGGCAATCTTTAACACCCCATTGGTTCTGCAGTTAAGATCTACTGTACGTCTTATCCAGGTTACATGGTTCTGATTGCTAAATGTTTTGAAAATTCAGATGCAAGCGTACTTGGACGACGATGCTCTATAAACCGTGATTTAAGAGAATTTTCAGTGTCGCTTGCATCAGACGACTCACATTGAATGTGATAGACCAGCCACATACAGTAACTCGTTCTTTGGCTACAGGATCTTTTGGTCTAACTAGCAATTATCATAGTGTGTTATTCGGTTTAAAAATTACTATACACTATATCAATACACAAAGTCATATTTTTTCCGATGTCCTCCTATGTCAGGAATCACAAGGGAATTCCGTATGATGATTCAAATGCTTGAATATCATGCTGTTTTGTTCGTTTTCTTGATTTTCAGGAGGGGCAACCTGAGTGTCCTTGAGCCTCCATGCAATCCCTTTCCGATTTCTTGCCATACTCTTCTTTAATTAAGTTATCTGCTCTGTGTAACAAAGTTCTTATAGCACTATATCTGTAACAGTGGGTGATAACTTTTGAAGTTCAAATATTGGTCCGTATGGGTAGTTTTCTCTACCAACCTTTGTCCCAACAGATCCATCTGTATTGATGACTATGTACAGCTAATCAAGATATGCTAAAGCTCTTTCGTTCATATCAGGTTCAATATCCGATGTGGATAATATGACTTCTGCCTTTAAAGTCCATTTTAATGTCTTCATCCAAACTGTTTAGGTGATGAGTAAGCTTCAAAGTAAATTTCTTTAATAGTGCAAGTGCCACCTACATCTCTTCCATGGTGGGTGCTTGT